AGAGACGGGCCGATGAGGAGCGCAGGGCTGAGGAGGAGAGACGGGTTAGGGAGCAGAGGGAACGGGAGGAGAGAGAGCGCAGGGAACAGGAGATTGTGGCCCAACAGGAGGCCGAAAGACAGAGACTCGAGAGGGCCCGGGCGGCCGAGCGTCGTAAACAGGACCAGAAATCGGAGACTACAGTGAATAGGACTACCAAACTATGTCCCGGTTGTAGGTCCCCTATTGAGGTAAGGATTTAGCTAGACCATTTCAATTACTAATTATTAATTTACTAACATTTAGTAAAAAAAATTAAACTACAAGCAATTTATTTTAGCAGTAAAAATTTTTAATTAACCAACAACTATATTCTAATTAACCCGCTAAATTATACACTCTTAACTAATTGAAAAGTAACATGGATGTTAATTAATTAGACTACCTCATTTTTTATGCATGATAAAAACATTCTATCAATTATTTTATTTGTTCTAATTAACTAATTAACCCTGGACTATATGAAAACGCTAGTTAATTACATAGTATATCAAAATATTTAATATAGAAAAACATGGGATGCCAACATATGACGTGTACTAATTGTAATCGCGAGTTTTGCTGGGTGTGCCTAGGTCGATGGCCTTGCTTTAGGAATCATTAGCCAGGTCAAATGTAACGTGAATACAATACATATTTAAATGTTACTAAAGTATATATTATTATACAGTAGTTATTAGGTAGATTAATAAATTGCTTAATGTTTATAAATTAGTATAATAATGACTGCATAAATATAACTATGGTTAAAAAGTTTTTAAAAAATTACAAGTTTACTTATTAATTAAATTAAGTTGATTTATTAACTTGTTTATCACCTTGGTAGAAAAACGATGGCTGCGTACACATGACGTGCATACGGTGTAGCCACGAGTTTTGTTGGCAATGTATGGGCCGATGGGAGGGCAACCATCATATTTGTCCCTGATTAATATATTCATAAATAGATTTTTAAAACAAAATAAACTTTATAATTGTATTTCAAAAATTATATATAAAAATTATGCAATAATAAAAGTTACAGCTATGTTAAGGGACCAAACTTATAATTTATAACTTTTTATGGTTAATAAACTTTTGAATTAAAATTTATTACAATCACTATTGTTGTATTTTTATTTATTTTATTAATTAAAAATATAAACAATATTAATTTAATTTAATTTATAAAATGTTGTTAACTATGTAAAACGGCTTTTAATTCGTAAACTGTATATAAATGAATTGACATTGTTTAATTCATCATTGAATTATGTTTATCATAGTAACTGGGATCAATGGTACACGTTGAATTTAAATTATTTTATCTCAATTAATACTTTATGCAAAATTTTAATTATCTAAAATTTTAATAAGTTAATACCACTTAAAAACATTTGTTTGCATATTGTTACTATAATTTTTAAATATAAATAAATATGATTATGTTAAAATTGGTAATGCTAATAGTTTTATATCAATATAATATATTTTTTAAACAAAAATATAAATATAATTTGAAACTAAACTTTAGATAACTTTAATCAGAATATTATTTTCAAATTAACCATAATTTTGTAAAACGGCTAAATCATAGTAAATTATCAAGTAAACAATAAAAAAATAACATAGTTTTATTAGTTACAATAGTTGTATAACTAAAATTAATATTTTATAAATGTTTTATGGTGATTTAAATCCGGTAATATAAAATTCAAATATCTATAACTATGGTTACGATAAATATATAACAGTTACAGTTTAGGCAACAGATGTCCCGTGTATTGTATATACAAGTGCTTAAAGGTAAGGGACTTTTTGGTGGGATGGCTTGTATTGGACAGACTAGATAATTAGCATATTTTAATAAACACAGTTATATTTAT